GCAATCAGTTTTTGGACTGCTGTTTCTGTTTTTTTTTTTTTTTTCTGTTCCCATGAAAGTGCAGAGGAGAAAAACAGTAAACACAAGGATGGTCAAAGCTGACCAGATGTCAGGTGTCTGAGGCAGACACTGTACTTGGAATATGCAATGAATTAATAGTACGATCTCAATCTCTTGTTAGTTTATTAGATTACAAACACTAGGCTTCTTCTTCAGGAGTAAAAATTTCTTTTCAGAACTGAAATAGTTATGGTAATCCACCAGCTCAGTTTTAAAGGATGGAAATTATTCTCTCTCTGAGACCAAAAGTGAAAGGAATTGGACCTCTGCCCTGAGACAGTCTGCCTTCTGAAGCTTGTTCTCTAGCATTTCTGTCTACATTTAAAGACCCTGAAGTTGTTACACTAAAAGATTGTATTTTTATCTTTAATTTTTTATCTGTAATTGATTGTCTTCTAGTCAGTGGATTTAATTTAAAGTAACTATAAAATACTCTTTTTCTTCCCTGTTTTACCAAGAATTAGAGCTGAGATTATTAAATGGTTCTGAGGTACAATCAGGACAAGACTATATGCTTCTCCTGTCATTGCCTTTTCATATACTATGATAGATCCACTTTGTCTACTCCTTGGTAACAAACTTAGATTCCAACCACTTTCAGTCGTAACATTCACATGAGATGATGGTGATGGTAATGATGATGGTGATGGTGATGACAGAAAAATGTATACACACATACTGGATTTTTAAAAATCTATTCATTATTGAATAAAATTGTCAAGCTTAAATCCAATTCAGGGATCTTTTCCTCACTCCCACAAGAACATTTTTTTTTTGGTAGATAATAAACTGTACACTTCTGAGTCCTGAACCATCAAGGGCCCCTTCTAAACCTTATACCTAATATTGAGTATGTAGTTTTGTATTCAGGGGTATCACCGACCTATAGTTCCAGCCTTTTTTATTTTTCAAAAAAAAACCTCTATTGTTTTAAAATACATTTTTCTAGTTGTCCATGAGCCTTTATCTATTTATATGTGGTGCTGAGAATCGAACCCAGTGCCTCACACATGATAGGCAAACACTTTACCACTGAGCTACAATCCCAGCCCTTGTTTTTCATTTTGAAACAGGGCATCTGCTTAGTAGCCCACTTTGGCCTCAAATTTGAGATACTTGCCTCAGGCTCTGAAGTAGCTGGGACTACAGGAACGCACCACTCCTCTTAGCTTGTATTCTACTTTTTGAAGAGCATTCTCCAAATTGCATAAGGACTCACAAAATTTAAAGTCAGATTCTATCCCAGCAAACTGAGACTGATGAGTGACTAGAAGGACATATGTGAAAGAACAGGGATGCTGATCTTCTCTTTGATTCTTCTTCCCTCTCTTTCATTTCTACCTTCCACTCCTGAGCTGGAGCAGAAGAAGGAGACTTGTTTCTTTCCTTAACAACAACTGCTCATGAATACTTCTTGACTATAGATAGCCCTTCTGAGACAAACACCTAAGTGCTGGCTCACTCAGGTAGTTTCCCATGACATTAGTAATGCCCTATCTAGAGGACCTCAGATGGCCACTTACAAATAGTCCCTGCCCTGTTCTCTGGCCCCTAAAATTTATACCACAGCCTTTAGAATAGTACACAAATAGTATAGTCCATTTGATTATTGAAAAGATGCTTTATTAAAAATTTTCTCTGCACCAGGTTCTGTGCTAGGTAGTGCTTTTATATTATTTCTTAATAGTGATTTAAAATATTTGTGATTAAAGCGTGCACAGACACACACACACACACACACACACACACACACACACACACACACAGTTTCTTTAAACAAACACCAAACAATACACTTCAAGTATCAATCATAGGTGCAAAGAGCAGAACTGGACAAGTACCTACCTACTCACACTGTTTTGTGAGTATAGCATTAGGAAATTTGGACAGCATAATGAACCCCAAATGTTCCAGACTGTTCTATCACTGTGATAATTATGATGAGAGGATCATCTGAACTTCATCCAATGCCAAATATTTTCTCCAAAAAATTTGTTGAGAATCCACTCAGTAAATTAGACATTAATTTTTGAAGTTTTGTAACACAATACAAATAATTCTATCAAAATGCTCTCAACATAGCTCACTCCTCTATTTCTAGTTTTATAATGCTTATGACATATAATGGTGCTCATTAAATATTTGTTAATTAAGTAAATGGGCAAATTAATTAATGAATGAAGAAATGTTATCTTCCCCTAATCAAATCCCCATGGCAAACTTGAGTTTACAGTGGTAAAGTAGGCAGGGAAGAACCTTATCATCTCCTGCCAAGTATATTTATTTGTTACCATGCTTTCCACTGTGCTCAGGATTTACATACATATTTCATCCAGCTCTCAGCTTCCTCTGAGGTTTGTGACTTTATGTGGCAATCATATTCACCTTCTCACCAAAGACTAATAACATTCTTGCAAAAGGTGCCAGCCCAAAGAAAACACTTAATTTATACTCTATCCTAATGAGAATGAGTCCCTTTCAACAAGAAGGAACCTATCCCTAACTATAATTATCTGTGTTTTCCAATCTTCTGCCCAATGTATCATGCCTGTACACATATATCAGCAATAATTTCATTAAAAATCCAAAATTTGGAATATCCATAACTCTTTCTGGAAATTAATTTTAGACTTAAACTTAGCTCTTGCTTCTATCAGGAAATTAATTATCCATTTGCTTTTAAAACATAATAAAACTAAGTGATGCTGCTTTTCTTGAGGGATGGAATGAAGCAAGACAAAAAGAAAATCATGATMAGGATGAATTTTTTTTTGTACTGAGGATTAATCTCCAAAGTATGCTGCATCAGAGCTAATCCTCCATCCTTTTATTTATTTATGTATTTATTTTTAGTTTTTTAAGACCTGCTATATTGCTCAGGCTAGACTTGAACTTGTGATCCTCTTGCTTCAGTCTCCTGAATTACTCGGATTACAGGGGTATGCCACTACACCCAGGTATAAATTTTTAATCCTTCAGTGTGTGATATTTTTGTAAGCTGTTCTTAATTTTTTAATGCATTATGAAAATTATAGTTCTTTTAAATGGAATTCTTTGAAAATATATCTCTAATGTTACATATGTAATGTTTGTGCTATAATATTTTACATTTTTAAATAAATTCATTATTTTATTATCTCCAACATGGAGATGGGATGGGGGAAAATAAACATGTGTTCATTTCTCTAGAGGAAACATGTAGCTGCCTTTTTATGAATATTAAAGGTTAAAGTCTTCTGCTCTTTCTATACTTCTTTTCTCCTCATGAGTTGATGAATTTGCTCCCCAAAAGTCATATTACTACCAGGGTGATCCTTTGGCATTGAATGACTCAAATCACTGCTCAGGCCCCCTGCCTTAAATGAAGATGGAAAGCAAGAGATTCCTCTCCTCATCCCACAATGACTTCCCAACACTCACGACCTCAAAAAGTTGCAGAAGAGGATCCCAGGTACTAGCCACTTATGCAAATTACATTATCTTTAATCTCATAAACATCTTGACTACTGCTAATTTCCTTGAAACTATACTAGCATCCAGAATTTTTTTAAGTGACCCCATTGTGTTTTTTTTTTTTTTTTGTCTTTCTCTTCATTGAGGTTGCATTCAAGCTATTACCTATTTAATTCAAGTATAAAACAAAACCCATTGAATAGTCAAGGTGAAAGTATTAAGTGTATTTTTGATTCATTTTTTTAAAGAGAGAGAGAGAGAATTTGTTTTTAATATTTATTTTTTTTAGTTTTCGGCGGACATAACGTCTTTGTTTGTATGTGGTGCTGAGGATCGAACCTGGGCCGCACACATGCCAGGCGAGCACTGCTACCACTTGATCCACATCCCCAGCCTCATTCTTTTTTTAACCTCAATTAAATTGCTAAATGTATGAATTCTCCATTTCACTTAGCTTTTGCTAAACTAGAGGAGAGAAGAGAATCCCAAGAGGGTTTTTATGGGGCCAGAAAGAATATATTGGCAAAGTGAGATCTTGTAGGTGATTGAATTTACCTTTGATGACTATAGTGAAAACATCAAAGCTTAAGATGCCAAGAAAATTTTTTAAAGAACCAGAGGAATAAACACTTTTGCAAATACACAGGAGTGATGTAGATTTTGTTATTAGTAAAGCATTTGAGGCTATGCTTTTCAGATTTTCCATGTTTGAACCAGGACTTTGCCCATGAATAGGACCTGATCACTGTCTCCAGATAACCGAACACATTAAACTTTCTAATGGCATGAGTAGGATTTACCTCACCATGACAAGTATGATTTTGAAACCAAGAAACTTTAGTTTGCCCTTCAAGAAAAGTGATTTATAGGGGATGGCTTGGGAAGGGATAGCTGAGAAACCATGCTCTACCCAAAAAGATGATGAGAACCTTGCCCAAGGCATCCTTTTGAGATTGCCAGTGTCAGAGGATTGTGAAATCCTGAGTGTTTTTGTGGTGATGTCTGAAAGTACCGGTTACTGTACTGATGTCTTGCAGTCATGCATGTCTATTTCCGGATCTACTTCCTTATAATGGCTAATGAAACAGGGCCCTGAGCATAGCAGTGGGTAGGTCTCCATTTCAGTTCTTCTGTTGTTTTCACTGATAGGTGGCTTCTTCTGAAAGTTTCTAAATAATTCCCTTCAACTTGAAAAAGAAAATATAAAATTCTGTCATTTTCTCATTAGATACATGTACTAATTTTTAAAGGCTGTTTAAATTTCTGTTCTGTAAGCTGTCAATGTCTTTATTTCTCTTACCTCAAGCATCCATTTAAAACAATTTCAACCATTAACGTGCATTCTGCAAATAATGAACTGGCTAAATCACAGTAACTAAGGAAAATCAGGACAAGCCTGATAGTCACCAAGCTCTAAATAGGACTTTAAAATAAAAATAGAAAATGTGACTCAGAATACAGTACTAGTTCTTCATCTTACAGATGTTCCCAGCCATCAGAGTCAGCGTGGGCTATGACACTGGTAAGTGTGAGCTAAATGGATAAAAATTAGGAGAGGATGATAGGATTTTTTTCCCCCAGACTGTCTTCTGGACTGTTACTTCACATTACTTCATGTTTTACAGAATGTATAGAAAACTCTGCCTACTCATTTCTTAGTTGCTTTAATAGCAAGCCTTCAGCAGGCCTTAAATTAGTAATAGAATTGCCTCCCCTTTCTAATAACACTTTAGGTATACATAACACAACTTAGGAAATAAATATCTGGCCTTTCTATTTATTGGCTGAGTGATCACCTCATTAAACAAAATTCACCAAGGATTTCTGTCATGACACCCCATTCATAGGCCAACCAGACTGAAAAGACTGCATCTCGGACCATGGAAGGGACACTGAAGAAACACTGTCATGATATTTATATCCCACCTACTCAGAGGACCAATTGAGAAACTCCATATGGACTCCAGTTTGCCACTAGCCCACAGAATTGAAGTTTCTTAGCTGGCTTAAATTAAGAATTTTGGGTAAGTATAAAACTTTGCAGATATTTATTTTCATAATCCTAAGCAGTTTATTTTCATAAATGTCTTTTTGTGCTGCCCAATTATCTATAGGTTGACACATTAGGCAAAGGAAATACKTTCTTAGAAAGCTTATAAGAAGAGACAGCCAGGTATAATGGAAAAAGCAAAACAGGATGATTGAAGAGCTATAAGGTGTACAAATGAGAGAAAGGTAGCTATGTCTAGTTTAAACCAAAAAAGGAAGAGAAGTTTTCCTAAGTAGAAGTAGAATAGGTGATTTGAATTATCTTAGAGGAGTGAAACCCCTTCCTCTCATGCCTCAAACTTGGACAAATGACAGGTGGTACAAGTCCAGTTCCTCAGTAAGTTCCTGTAAACAAAACTGTTTATTTATAGACAGCTTCTCAGTACTGTTTTCAGGAGTTCAGTCAGAATGCAACTCAGAGCCACCTATCAACTATAAAGAAAAACAAAGACATAAAACCCTATCTTCAAAATTTTACTTTACAACTGGAATCAGGTAATTTGATACTGTATCTATTTGAAGGACCCTCAGAATTGTGACTGATAAGTAGTTTGAAGAAACATAGAAATAAGCCAAGTACCTCCTGCTTTAGAAAAAAAAAAAAAAGAAAAAGAAAAAGAAAATTGGGCTGACATCATGGAAATCTACCAGCAGACCTAAGCAAAATTTGATGTATCTACTTCTCCTTTCTGTTCTTTCTACTTTCTGTTGGGCATTCATGGGAATCAGCATTGATGGAAGAAAAAAATGAGCCTCCACATAGACAACACTATGAGGTGAAGAACAGAGTTGTTGAGATATTGATGCTCTACCCTCATTTTTCCTTTTTTATTTATATAAAATATAAATAAAAGCAAGGCAAAATAAATTTACAGTAATACTAGTACTAACTAATGTCTCCCCTAAAATACATATATTTAAATGTATTTCATTTATTCTCATACTTATTCTTACAATTCTCCTCATGATGTGTGCAGATTAATTCAGCATAAATTTCAGAGGGTAAATTCTTCAATTGTTTTAATATAGTTGCTTTAAAACATAAACTACATGGTACCTTTCAATGTAACATTTTATAAATTCAGAATTACTAYATATATCAATGGCTAAATACATTCACCAATTTTTATTCAGCAGCTTTTAAATTCAGGAAACTTTTTTCCCTAAAATTTATACAATTTCAGAGGTGTGTAAATATAATATTTCTTTCAGAAACTAAATTTCACCTGAGATAAAATGAAAATTCATTAAAGGAGAGACACAGTTCTTATTGCACACAATATGCACCTGTTAAATATTTACTGAATGGAAATATAAAACTTAAGATTGACTAATCCCAATATATTACAGGATAAAAATCACAAAAATGATGAAATGCAAGGAGATTTTAAAGGACGACAGAGGGAATCACTTTTAGCTGAATGATCAGCAAAGAACTCATATGGTTATATAAACTGATATGGATTTCAATTAGGTAATAGTTCAAAACAGGGCATTGTTTGGTAGATAGAAATAAGAGGAAGTACCAGGCAGCGAAAACAAAAACAAGATAATATATAGAAGTTGAGTACAAAGTAGGGTGCAAATTATTGACACCCAGGAGATAAATTCAGCTTGAGTAGGTGGAAAACTAATGAGAGAAAATGGATTACAGCTAGATAACAAAAGCCTTGGTTGTTTCTATGAGGACTCTGGGCCTTTTTCTGTGGACCTGTGGTCACAAGGTCTGGTGTTCTCCTCTCTTGCTGAATTATTTGAACACTTACCACAATATATGTGTTAGAATTTACATGCATATTTTATGAGACAGAAACACATATATGTATACATATAATGAATGGATATCTCCAGTCTTGGAATTATTAGTAACACATTCCATATTGAGAGAGAGAGAGAGAGAGAGAGAGAGAGAGAGAGAGAGAGAGAGAAAGAGAGAGAGAGAGAATAAGACTAGAGGGTGGGGCTGGGGGTGTGGCTCAGCAGCAGAGTGCTAGCCTAGCATGCATGAGGCACTGGGTTTGATCCTCAGCACCATATAAAAATAAAAAATAAAGATATTGAGTTCACTTAAAAATAAATAAATAAATTTTTAAAAAAGACTAGAACATCTTAAAGTATGTTATGGTGTAGCTATAAGGTGTCCCCCAAATGCTCATGTGTGAGATAATACAAGATTACTCAGAGATGCAATAATTACATTATGAGGGTTATAATCCAATCAGTGGATTAATCCACTGATAAGGATTAACTGGGTGGTAACTGAAGGCAGGTAGTGTGTGGCTGGAGAAGGTAGATCACTGGGTGTATGACTTTGAGATGACCCCAGCGCGCGCTCTCTCTCTCTCTCTCTCTCTCTCTCTCTCTCTCTCTCTCTCTCTCCTTCCTTATTGTCATGTTCTGAGCCTGCTTTTCTCTACCATGCCCTTCTGCCATGATATCCTGCCTCACTTCAAGCCCTGAGCTTTAGAGTTGCCTGGTTATACACTGAGATCTCTGAAACCAAAATAATGAGCCAAAATAAACTTTTTCTCTTCTAATTGTTCTTGTCAGGTCTTTTTGGCCATAGCTATGCAAAAGCTGACTAAAACAAAGTATACCACTGAAGCTTACATTTTTACAGCTTTATTGAGGTAGCATTGATATATAGTAAACTGCACATATGTAATGTGTATGATGTGGTGAGTGTACAGACGCATAGACCCATGAAGTCATCATCATATTAAGGCAATAGACATACCCATCACCTACAAAAGTTCCCTCATGCATCTGTGCTTCTTTTATTGTTGGTGGTGGTTTTAGTAAAAACACCAAAACTTTCTTAATGTATTATCTGTTTCTACAAATTACAGAAATAGCTGGCATTTTTTCCCACTAATAATCAAAGGATTAAGAATTCTACTTATGATTTCTTTATATAAAATGAAGTTTCCCAAACGTTTCTTGGAGCTAAGATGTTCCTCAGAGATCTTCTTTAACTTGATAAGGTGAGTACTAAAAGAGAAAGTTTGAGTGGAGAAAGTTCTTCAATCAGTTATCTGTAATTTTATCTTTTAATATAGGTACTTTTTTTAAAAGCTGTTGAGGGAAAAGGATTTAGAAAATAAAACAATTTTTAAAACCATGAATTTAAATTCATTTAATCCTGCAAAAATTCAATAGAGATGATTAGTAACTATGTAAAACCGTAAGATTTAATAGTTTTGTCACATGGTTTTATGTTTTAGTACAATGCACTTCAATCTATGGCCTTGCTGCCTTGCAGTTGAATTCAGAGTAAAAAGAAGTACAACTAACATCATAATCAGAGACTAGTTTTACTCTCATACATTTTTGGTGCTTATCTTTTGTTTTCCTTCCAAGGTTCTTCTTTTTCCATCTATTTTCTATGTGTCACCCAGACTCCCTGGCCACTTGCACTCTGGTTTGGGTCAGCTAATGGGAGGCACAGGAGTGACATCAGAGTGTGGGAAAAGAGACAAGTCAAGATGCATTCCCCACCATCTGACTGGATTAGCATTACATTTCTGGCATTAGCATGTCCCTCCTAGGGTCACACACTGGCAAAAACTTTTCCATAATTCTAGTTCTTCTGGGGCAATAGTAACACTTTTTTCTTTCATTCGCCTTGGGGATAACAACTTCCCACTACTGCTAGTGCCTGTGCCCTTACTATTACTTTGCCTTTTGCCACTCTTACATTTCTATAACTAATCTCTTACCTATTCACTTAAGGTATGTAATCAATTATGTTTCCTATGTGACCCTTACTGATACAAAGTTTACAATTACTAAAATAACAAAAATTAAAATACAGAATGTAAAGATGCTGGTCATTCAACTGTTTAATATTAACTTTGCCTTATTTACCATATTTCCAAAGTATCATACCATAACTTTTGTCAAAGTGGTATCCATCCTGTTCTTATAAACTATGGCTCAATTAAAAAAACTATAGAATTTATAGTATTTATAGTTAATTTAATGTTATATTAATGAATTTCTAGGCAAAACCTAAATTCTCCATAGTATGCTTACATGCAAGCCAGAAGCAGACAAAACCATATACCTCATTTCACAAAGCCAGACAAGACTTGGGAAATGGTCCTGAAAATGTTCAAAGAGTAACACTTATAGATGTGCATATGGGTTCATTTTATACACAAAAGCAGAGTATTTTATCATCAGAGCCAAGTCAATAACTACTAGTAAAATACTTTTATTCAGGTATAAGTGTCAATGACCACCCAAAAATACAGCTGGCAAGCACATCACTACTAACAAGCATTTACTCTAAAAAAAGGATTGTCTTAAGAAACCCTAAGGAAAAAAAATTATGACATGAACATGAAGAAATTTTAACAAGACTAAATAAATAAAGAACATCATTGTATGTTTTGAACATATTCTTGAAAAGAAATCACAGAGAGAAAGTTTCCATAGAGCTTCTTTGAAAACATTGACTGGCTATTTTTACATAGCTGTAAAAAATTTTAGTATGCTTCTTTGTAAAGGAATAAAGAGAAATTTCTTGTGATGAATTTTTTAAGAAAATTTTCTTTTGAGAAAAATGTTCAACGATCTACTCTATTACTTTAGCCACCTTAAAGTAATACCACAAAAAGAAATACATATTAAAAACAAAAGCAACCGTTGAATATGTACCAGGAGTTCAATAATTATGCTATAACTGTCTCTGAAAATAAGAAAGAGGTCTCATATAGATTCATCACTAGTGAATATGTGGGACATGTTCTCAGATCAAAGGATGGAAGAAAAGTAGATTAGTGACTTCTATCTCCCTTGAATCCTCAGAATCTGTAGCAAAAAAAAAAAAAAAAAAAAAAAAATCCAGAACAAAACAAAAGGATATGCTAGATAATTAGGCCAATTTTTATCTCTGTCAAGAAGAATCACAGCACTGAAATAACAGAATGTCCTTGTGGTTTCCTCAGTGATAGAGTGAAAGATGACTATGATTACAACAAATTTATGAGAAATGATCATATCTTCTTACTGTCTGCCCACACCAGAGAGAAATGTTGGGAGACAGAGATGAACTTGCTTTTTCTACCTTTTTGTGGCACAATGGCTAGGACCATCATGATACTATGGGAACATGATATCTTACCCCACAGATATCTCCAAATTCAAGTCATATTTGTGATCTAGAGCACCTAAAAGATTGAGGAGAAAAACAGTTTCTACATGAGGAAGAAAATATTTGTTAATGTATTTTACACAGAAACAAATATCATGAGCTATTGAAACCATTGAGTCATTTTTCAAATAGATGTACCTATGCTCTGCCAATCTTACAGTAATAATTTTTCCTTATATATAAGGTCGTTTTTTTGTTTGTTTGTTTTGTTTTGTTTTATCAGAAGACATTTAAATTACACAGCAAATAAATTCTCCTGAATCAGAAACTTTCTTTCTTACATATAGGGTAGCCCTGAAAGATTTGTTCAGATACTTTTCATGGGAGACTTAGCTATTGGCTTATTTGGCTTTCTTTTTACACATTCAGCACACAAAATATTGTCCTAAATTACTTTTTCTGTAAGTCCAATGGTCATCAGCTACAAAATTTGCATACATACTTTGAAAGGTACCATGGGTACCTGCACTGTCCCTCTATTATTTACCTTTTAATATGTTTCTTGAGGTTTTTCTATTTCCTTGATATCCTGAGTTCTAATTCCTGAATGACACCCCTGCATATGTGTTGTTGTGTGAAATGTTATGTTATTATTACTGGTCATGAAGACATGAGTTCATGTGAGCTGTGGAGATTTACTAAGTTCAGAGAGGGAACAAGACAGTGGACAAGAACATTGTCCCTGACACATTTGATGTAGAGACATTAAACACTAACAGCTCATATAAATTCTTATATGGATAAATATTAGCAGCTATTTAAGAAAAATTATCAAAGAAAATATTGAATTAGGAAAAGTTACTGTTTTTTCATAGTGATTATAAAAATATTAACTTTAGCAGTAAAACGTATGATTCAAATAAAACTTTCTAAAAAAGTGCTTGAACACTTCTATACCGTTTCACAGAGTGATAAATACATAGAATATAAGAGATGAAAAAGGGCATATATTATTTATTCTCATCCTTTAACTTTACAGATATGAAAAATGAAGGTTGCATAATTTGGGTGAATGTCCAGGTTATAAAACCAAATGAAACAGAACCAGGACTCCAGACTATGGCTGTTCACCAAAATTTCCCCCCYATCAACAGTCTCTTCTGCATTTTTTCATATGAATTTTGTTTTAAAAGTCATCCTTGAAATATGAAAGGATTTTTCAAGTTTCGTAATTAAAATGTTGATGTTCTGAATTATCATTCATAGATATTTGATTGACTATCTTTTTGTAGTCCTTATCCAAATGTTCCAATGTATTTTGTTCAAAAAATATATTTTGCTCAGTAATGATCTTTAAAATTCAGTGACTTGAAATTTGTTCAGAGTTCACCAGAAATTACTTAAACAAAACTCTTTTAATAGATTTGAATTCAACATTTGAACAGATAATTCATTGAGCTACTATATGCCCTACTTGCTAACAAGTAAATATTTGGAATTCAAGAGGCAATAATTTAAGTGGGAATTATAAATGTATTTCAGAAAATCTGATTTTTTGAGATTTTGGTATCCATTAATTTTCGCCATTTTTGTGTATTTCAAATACCCAGAGTTTAATGGTGGTATTCACAAACTTATTTACTTGCAATTCTGCCTGTCCTTGAGGCATTTCTAAGTGCCCAAAACTATTAATAAGGATGAATAAATAGATACAAATGAGCTTCTTTTCAGTCATTTACAATTTAGTCTTTTCTATGTGCTAATCCTGTGTCCTCCGTTAATCAACCCCAAAACACAAGTCTCCCATTGTGCTCCATAGAGATGAGGCATATGTGGTGGAATTCAGTCAAAATATTAATTTAGACATTTGGGAGCCATCACCTTCTTGAGAAAACTATCAGGTAAAATACATTCATTTTCAGCCAAGCTAAATTCCCATGTCCATGGATTGCACAACCCTGTTAAAGTCAGTAAGTGTCAAAGTCTTGAGCTATGGACTAGACAACATTGCCCAATAACCACAATTAGGGTTTCCAGCATCTGCTGTTCCTCTTTTGCAAATCTGAATTCTTCTTCCTATGCTATCTCTCATATACATTATTCATGCTGATGTTGAAATAGTGACAATTTATGAGGAGAGTTCAGTAGTTTCATGTAGCACTGGAAATCACTGCCCAAATAACAGAAGGAAAACCTACCCCAGGAAACTATCTCATAAACGTTCTTAAAACCCCATTTTCCTATGGTATGTTCTAAATGTGTGTGTGTGTTTGTGTGTGTGTGTGTGTGTGTGTGTGTGCGCGCGCGCGCACGTGTATACATACATGCACACTGTTTACACACATATATATTTAACTATATACATTTTTCTTCAAATCTTTTGCTTGTCACGAACACTAAGATTTTCACCCTCCATTTCAAATTCCTTTCATTGACTAGTCCTGATTTTACTTCTCTTTGCCCCTCCACTCCCATATTTGTCCTTTTATCAGTCAAGCCTACCTTTCAATCATCTCCTTTGCTCCTGGCTTCCATTGTCACTTACACTTTAAATCTTTTACTAGTAATCAGCATCCTCTCTTCTTTTTAATCCAGAGCTTCCTTAAGACACTTCAGTCTACTTTAATTGATATTTAAATGTGTTGATTTTGTTCGCTAATCTATTCTATATTCTTAAGGAAATTTAATTCATTTTCCTCTTTGGTCTCTATAAGGAGAAAGAGAAAGGAAAGCCCACATGTAAATCATCCATAAAAATTGGTCCTAAGCCTGAAAGAAATAAAAGAACACATAAGTAAGATTAAAACATGAAATTGAAACAAAAATTTTAATATATTTCTACTTATTAAAATATGTGTTTGTTTTTTACAAAATTTGAGTTTTTAAGGAACTTTAAATATTGCTGTTTTATGCAAAACTCTTTTCTCTGAAACAGAAATCAATCAAGTTTGTGAATTTCTCAAAAAAATTAAATGTAGGAAAGACCAATTTTGCAATGCAAATTGAAGTTTATAGCAAAATATATTTTGAAAATAAGAAAACATAATATAATTATTTGTTTTATTATGCATTCAATTGCTATTTTCAAACATGCAACAAATATTTAGAAAAGATGGGAATCCATGTATAAATTCTCATTTTTCACTAAATACTGAGTATACATCTCCTATCACTCTTAATAAATAACAAATTTTATGGGTTACCCAGAATCTATAGCTGAACTAAAAAAAAAAAAAAAAAATCTCCATCATGCGTTTTCCTGTCATTTGTAAAAATGAACTTTGGGTTTAAGGAAGACATTGACTTGTGTACTCAGTGACTTTCATCTTAAACTCACCTCCCAGAAAATCTTCAAGAAGTATTTCTAACATAAAGTTAGCAAAGTTTAGAAGGCATTCTAACATTTTCATCCACTTCTTCTATGCAGACCACATTTGTTTTCTGAATAATCCTTTCCCCCTCTGACAACAGCTGTAGCACCATTTAGCGCCCATTAGTCTAATGCTATTCTTAACTAACACTTCTGAATTGCCTCTAAAAGAAGCACTAGAGGGGGCCAAAGAGCAACTCAAGGTGGGGTGTTCCATTAGCCTACCCAACATCTTATCCCCTATGCATTTGATAAATCACATACTTAATCAATCAGATCATCAACCAACCTAATAGCTTCACAATCTCCTACATGCAAGTCATTGTAGTTGACGATTTTTGAGAATACAAAGAAATACGTTACTGACAGGATTTAACTTTGCTACATTGACTACCCTCAAGCAAGGGTTCATGACATGTAGCAATTTGTAATTTTGCTGAGGCATGAAATTGAATTACATGTGGCAAGCGGCTGGTCTCTAGTAGAAATCCCTTAGCTGGAGTGTGCCTAGATGACTAGCCCACATACCTTCTCACAGTGGTTTAGATATTCTCTGCTTGTGGTCACGTTACTATGTAGTAATTCTCATAACTTGATAAAAAAAAAAACTATTTTCTTTGTGAATACTTTTCTTGCAAATAAAGTCAGTTGCTAGTTCTGGTGATGAAAGTAGAGTGGAAGCAAAGCTATCCAAGAAAGTGATGTTTCTAATCCAGAAATAGAAGCTTTATGGAGATAATTACACGCTAAACTGATATTTGTGAATTTGGGACTGTGGTATCCCTCATGAATATTGAGGGTCTGCCATCTGAAATAAAGTTCTTATCTTCAAGGAACACTTAGAAAACATAAAAATTGCTTTGTTGTATTTACCTCTTACAACCTACTTTGTCTTTAGGCATTACAGAGATGGGTGTCATTTTAACTGCATTTTATGGTCAGGACTATCATGCTATTTATACTCTGTGAAATACTGTATACAAAGTCTCCAYAGTATGCACCCTTCTGCCATGCAAGATTTGAGATACTGACCAAAACTGTAGGTCTTTTATTTTTAATTTCTTTTTTTCTAGCTTTAGGTACTAATAGAACTTAGATTAAAAGGAAGCTAAGAATCATAGAAACATTTCAATTAATTATGGCAATACATAGAATAGACCTAGGCTAAAACAAACCCAAAGGCAAGTGGGATTTGATACATTTTTCTCAAGTTGGCTTAAATATTTTCTCTAGACAGAAAACTTAGAAATACTTTTTGAAACCTAGAACACTGTGACAATATATATAATGTGGCACAATGGGACATATATGGCATATTTTGGCCACCTGTCCTCTGTGAAGATAAAGGCCCTTCATTTTAGTTTATGGCAGCTGCTGTTTTCCATCTTTTCTTCAAGCTGCTGATGGTTGTGTATCCTGCTGCCCAGGATCTCCTGCCTAACCTTAGGCTACTGCTGTTTGTGATGCTTGGCTATGCTGTTTTCTCTTTATGTGGACTATTCGGTCCTTTCTTAAACTTACAAACCTACTGTTCTCTAATAAAGATTGAAAATCCAATGCTTGACTTCTTGAATATAAACTTTCCGTTTTTCCTGGACAAGCACATAGCAGAATAGAGGTACAGCTGGGGATAAAGGAAGCAGGAAAGAAACACGTCACTTATCTCTTAAAGTTTGCAAAGTACTTTTGAAAATGAGAATTCTTTGTATTTTTAAAATCCTCTCCACCCATTAGCCTCAGCACTACATTGCTGCTATACTTACACCTCGCTCGTTATGTATTTACTTTTTATATAACTAAGCAGCACCCTGTCATAAATGAAATATTCATGCAAAAAAAAAACCTGCTCAAAATGCATTTATAAAAAGAACATATAAAATCTACCATCTGCTCCCACTCCTAGCAAGCCCTTAGATACCCAAGTGTAAGCCCTCTGATTCTACAGAGAGGTAAAGCAACATTGTGTCCATGATGTATTCCTGAAAGCCAAAACTTCAGACTTTGTTTTAAGATGGATCTATGAGCGCTAGCCATCAAAATGCTTAGATCAACATTGATGGGCTTAGATATTGCACATAATGAATTCACATGCTAGCATATTGTAATGGGTAGTCTTACTTGGTCGTATTGTGCTGAAATGAGCTGAAACTCTTCTGGGAAGTTGTGAAAGCATTTTGTAGTCAATTGATACCATCCTACTATATAATAAGCCTTTCTTTAAAGAAAGTTGTCTGGACATTCCAGAAGTATAGGCACTTGGATACGTTATTGTTTTATATTCAGCTAAGAGCAAGAATGCTTCTAACAGAGTTTATTTTTCTCTTCACATAGGAATTATCACTATTGCTACCCATAAGAAGATACATCTAATTTTCTCAGTATTAGAGTATCTCCCAAGGGAAAATTGCACTTTTACAAGTTCTATGAATACTTCAATGAAATTTTCCCCTTTCTGCATCATTCCTTTGCTATACAGACATCACCCTTGGTGTTTAGTGCTTTCCATTCTCAACTCTGTATAATCAGACCTGAACAGTTGTGTATTCAACCAACCATGGACTGTACTGAATCTTTACTGAATAGACACAGACTTTTTTTCTTGTCATTGTTCCCTAMGCAATATGCTATAACAACTGTTTACATAGCACTTAATTGGTCTTGATATTATAAATAATTGAGAGATTATTTAAACAAGGTGGGAGGATGTGCTGGGCAATATGCAAATACTATTTCATCTTATATAAGGGACTTGACCATCCAAAGATTTTGGTAATCTGAAACCAAGACTCATTTTGGTTCTGAAACCAAGACTCATTGGTACCAAGGGATGACTGAACATGGAATTTTCATGCTTTCTTCCTGAGTAAATTAGTA